GTCCCTCGTCTGCACCGCCTGTGTCCCGAGCTCCCGCCTTCCCAGCACGCCTGGGAGGACGGACGGGAGCCAGCCTGCCAGGGAGCAGGTCGCAGCGCGCCCGCCACTGTGCCGGGCAGCTGGGGTCTGGGCTGTCTGTTCCCAGGCACGAGCAGGGTCCGGAGAGGGTGACGCAGCCAGTGAGGATCCTGAGTCACGGGTCCTGGCCAGCAAACCCTGGGTCGCGAGTGCCTGTGCGGGCCCCAGCCAGGACGTGGCCCGCCTGTAGGCTGGTTGGGACTAGTTACCCAGGTGAGGCTAGTTATCCCATTGAGACTAGTTACCCAGGTGAGGCTAGTTATCCCATTGAGACTAGTTACCCAGATGAGACTAGTTACCCAGGTGAGGCTAGTTACCCAGGTGAGGCTAGTTACCCGGTGGGCACTAGTTACCCTGTTGAGACTAGTTACCTGGATGGACGAGGCACCCGGTCGGGACCAGTTACCAGCCTGCGCCCGGGCTGGGGCGGGACTCGCTCTCCCCCGAGACCGCACGCGCCCGGCCGGGGCCCCGGGAAGGAGGTGGGCGTCGGGCACTTACGATGGGGCTGGCGTTGATGTAGTCCGAGCTGCTGTGGCTGCCCTCTGGTCTCAGCAGGACCCTGGAGTGGTCGTCTGCAAGCAAAGCCGAGAGCACGGGGTGAGCCCCATGCAGCCGCGGGGGTGCGCGGAGCGGGGGCCCTGGGCGCCCCAGCTCCACATGGTCCCCCTCGGCCGCGCTCGGCCATGCCGAAGGGCGCTGAGCATGACCTTTCCCCCCTCCCCGCCATTCACGGTCCGTCCGCGCGAGGGGGAAGGCGTCAGGGTGTGTGGGGACGACACCACGCCCAGCTGGCACGGCGCGTGTGGCCTGCTTCTCTACGCCGGGCTCCGACGCTGAGGCCAGGCGCCCTCTGCAGTGGCACAGAGCACCTCTCAGCCACACACGCGTGCGGCAGCGTGCGCTAGGCCGCTAGGCCGCCGGTCAGCACAGAGTTCTGTCGTCCGGGAAGCATTACGTCCTGGAGGCTGCGGGTCGAGGTTCAAAGGCAGCAGAGAGACAGGGATGCAGAGGAGTCAGAGGGGCCATGTTCGCTGACAGAAACGGCCAGAAAAGGCGAAACATTTGACCGATGTCGGAGCCAGACACGTCGGTGGGGACTGAGGACATGCGCTCTGGCAAACGTGTTTGATAATGAATTTGTCTTGATTTTGGCCATGGAGCCACCGCCCCGTACGTGCAGTGACATCCCTCTGCCTGTCGTCAGGGACGTTCAGAGCGGGACCGTCGGTGGCACGTGGAGGACAGACGTGGGGCGGGGAGGTGGGGACTCGCCCAGGCAGTGCTCGCAGTGGGGTCCCCCACGAGACGCCCGCTTTCCTCCCCGCTTCGCTGGGTGCGCAGCCACCCGCTCGCGCCTGCGTCACGATTCTGGGGCTCGGGGCATTGGCGAGTCCGGTGACAGGATTCACTTGGGGACCGTGTCTCCCAGACCGGGCGCCTCCCTGTCAGCCTTGTTAAGACACCAGCGCTGCCCTTCCCAGGAGAGACGAGACGGACAGAGCCCACGCACGGCGTGGTGTGCACGGGCGTGTCCGTGGCACGTGCCACACACCTGTAAGTGTGCTGAGGTGTGCGTGGTGGCGGCTGCCAGGCCGCCCACTGAAGTGTGCGTAACGATGCCAAACCCCACGGACTTGACGGCTTCGGGCTCCTGCACAAGTCTATTCTCGAGAGACTGAAATGGGCAGTGGCAGGAAACCGAACTACAATTCACCAGAAGAGCTGCCCCCCCGCACCTGCTGCCCCCCGGGCACCTAACAGGCTGCCACACGACCCCCACACGGCGTTCCGAAGGCGGGGTCTCCCAGGGGTGCTGCACGGGCGCCTCGGGCCGGAGCCGGGACAGCCGCTCGGACACGGGTGCCCCTTCCTGAGGGCCGCAGGTCCCGGCCTGGCAGAGCCTGGAACGAAAGAGCGTGCTTCCAGACGCTTCCGGAGGGCCCGGGTCTCCCAGGAGCCCTGCCTCCTCGTTAGTATCGCCAGCACAGGCGGCTTCGGGGCCGCCGCCTGAGGACCTCCGCACAGAGCACGGTCCTGGGGGCAGCGGCGGGCACAGGGAGGAAGGACCGGGGCCCACAGACTCCTGGCCTCGGCCTCCCGTGCGGGCCCAATGCTGCCCAGAGCCGACGGGCCTCCTGTGGTGCTGCGCAGGCCCAGATGCGGGGGGCCCGGGCCCCCCTCATCTCTAAGACGATGCAGCCGCCCTGCCCCTCAGGCGATCGGGCCCAGTAAACCAGGGCCGGCTGGACTTTCCAGATGGACAATTAAGAAAAATGCTTCATAAGTTTGGGAGTCCGGTGAATAAAAACGCACGGGACGAGCCTGGCCCTGGCGTGTCGCTGGGTCGTTTGCCTCTGACGAGGCGCCCAGCAGCTGTCCTGGTCACCGTTTATCAGTGCTGCTGCCTCTTTCGACCTCGGGGTCGCTTCTAAGTGTTTCACGCCCGATTCTGCCCATCTGTGTCCTCTGGTCTTGTTCCGGGCAGCGGAGCACCTCGCCACGTTTCTCGCAGTGCGCGTCTCGGGGGGAGCACCCCTCGGCTTCCGCGTGACCTGCTGTCGCCCGGCGCATTTAACTGACAAGGAAAGATCCACGGCGGCCACTCCGTCGAGGGGGAGGAGGTTCCTCGCTCTGTCGAGGGGGAGGGAGGTTCCCCGCTCCGTCGAGGGGGAGGGAGGTTCCCCGCTCCGTCGAGGGGGAGGGAGGTTCCCCGCTCCGTCGAGGGGGAGGAGGCTCTTCTGAGGAAGGTCCCTGATTCGGCGGCCGCGCTCCCTCCCTCCCTGAACCTCTGAAGCGTGGGCCGTGTCCGCTGCCTCGTTCGAGACATTTCGAGTCTCTCTGATACTTTGTTCTAAATGTAGTTTCACATGTGTCACCTGCCTTCTTCCCAGAACACTCTGCTGCCGATGGAGTGGGAACCATTTTCCCATTTTAGGCTGAAAAAGCTAAGTCCCAGAGACACCCTGTGAACAACCAGGCAAAGGCCACCTGGCCAGCAGCCAAGAGCCCAGGTTTCAAGCCCAGCCCTGCCACCTGCTGGCCCGGTGGCACCTGGGTCGATTATTCAATAGTTTGACGTTCACGTCTGTCATCCGAAGGGCAGGGTGATGCTGTCCACCTCACAGGGTCGCTGTGACCAATGGCGCATACTAGGCGCTCGGCGTAACGCCTGCCACATAGCACGGGTTCTGGGGACAAGGTCGAGGTTACACACGGAGCAGCAGGACAGATGCCGGGCAATGCCGGGCTCCTGTGCGTGAGTGACGGGTGTCCCTGGGCCACGTGGGTGGGTGCAGGACCACGGGACGGGACCTGGCTGGGGGGGACACTGTGTGAGCTCCCCAGTCAGGGTGGGGGCGTCAGGACACAGGAGGTGGGAGCGCGGCCGAGGGCAGGAGGGACGGGGCCCGGGAGCCCCCAGACCCCAGCTCGGCACCCCTTCTGCAGAGAGGCCCCCTCAGAGGTGGACGGGGACCAAAGCTAGGTGACGCCCGCCGACCCTGGGGGTCCGTGGGTGATGTGCACGTCACCGGAGGGCGTCTGCCGGCCCGGTCTCCGTGCGGGGCCCGGCCTCCCGCACAGACGGGCGTCTCCATGGTCCAGTCCCGCGGGCTCAGGGACGATGGCAGTGAGCGGCTCTGCCAGGCAGGCGGTCCCAGGTGAGCAGAGCTGTGGCCTGCTCTGGGCCACCCCTCCAGCCTGTCCCCACCCTTGGCATTGTGTCCTGTGGCTGCCGTGACAAGTTCCCACAAACCGAGCCGGTCAGGACGCCACGTCATCACCCCAGCTCTGTGGGTCAGAAGCGTGAGGCGGGGCTCCCGGGAGAGCCGGCCCGGGCCCTCGCAGCTCTGGCCACCGCCAGAGCCTCACGCCACGTCATCACCCCAGCTCTGTGGGTCAGAAGTGTGAAGCTCTGGCCACCGCCAGAGCCTTGGCTCGTGGCCCTCCCCGTCACGCCTGTCACCGCGGCCACCCTCTGCCTCCCTCCGCCGCGAGGCGCCGTGCGGACAGTCGGGACAGATTCAATGGGGACCTGAGCGTCCTCTGCGGCCTAATTCCTTGTCACGCAGGTGGATGCTCACGGGCTCCAGGGACAGACGCGTGGGCACCTTCAGGGCCACTGTCTTCCTGCCACGCCCAGCAGGACAAGGCGCCACCCGCTGAGACGCAGGGTCCCTTGAGCGGCCCGTTCCTCCTGCCCCTGCAGACCGCGTGGCCAGGCGGATGCCACTGCCCTCCCGCAGTGGCGAGGCCGGCATGGCACCGATGGGCGCCCCCGGGAAGCCTCCGCCCGCGGCTCCTGGGCAAAGTGCTGGCCGCGAACACACAGGGCGTAGGGGTCTCCGTGGCTGTGTCTGCGGGACCCCCTCTTCCAGGGGGACCCTGTGGTGAGGTGGGCACTTTGACGGGTAGCAGAGAACCCGTCTGCCGTGGCCTGCTCGTGAGCCTCCCAGGCGAGGCTGCCAAGGCTGGCTGGCCACGTGCGCTGCAGGGCCGTGGGGACGCGGGGGCTGGTCACTGCTGGCCTCAACCCCATAGCGGCCCAGCCCCTGTGCCAGGATGGCGGGGAACGGCAGGTCTGGGGACCAGGCCGGTGAGCCTCGTGTGAGCTGGCAGGACAGTCGACTCCTACCTGGCTGGTTCGTGTAGAGAGGGACTCGTGGCCTCCGGGAGGAGACGCCTTTTATTGGGGATGCGTCACTTCAGAAGGCAGTGGGTGTGAAGCCCACTGGACGGCAAGCGCCAGGGCCGCCTGTGTCAGGAAGGCCCAAGGCTCGGGCCCTTTCTGCAGCCCGAGGTCCCCAGCGCTGATCTGAAGTGACCGGGGCGGGCACAGAGAGCGGCCGCGCCACACGCGAGCCGAGGGTGCGAACGCGGACTCCGTGGGGCCGCCGCGCCTGCGTCACGCCTGTGCTTGACGGCGCCGCCCCAGGGGCAAAGCCTGACCGGGACGGTGTGCCGCCAGGATGGGTCCTGCCTCTTCCCTGCTCCCTGAAAACAGAAGCACCCCTGCCTGAGCCACGCTGCGGACGGGGCGGTGTCTGCCAAGTGCAGCCGGGAGCGGCCGCGGACCTGCTGCGCTGTTTCAGACGCCGACGAGCACAGCCTCCCACGAAGGGGCGCGAGCCGATGCCGCCCGCCTGCATCTCGACCGGCGCCTGGGCAGGGCGTCCAGCACCTCCCCCGCCCGTCAGGCCGAGGCAGAGCTCCGCGGGTGGCCTTCAAAGGCAAGCGGCTGTAATTCTCGGTCACTTGGCGGTGACCAAACCGGAATATTCCTCGGTGGAGATTCAGCCAACCAGAGGCTGGTTGGGAAGGGAGCTGCAGGTGCCGTGTCCTGGTGTGTGTCTCAAACAGTCCCTGTGGGGGCCTGAATTTGTGCAGTTTCCAGCACCCAGCCGTCTCAGGCATGACCACAAACGCCCACGGAGGCAGCGCCCTGTCCCACGGCAGAAACGGTTTTCACGCCTGACGTCCTCTGCGGTCAATGGAGGAGCCATCCCGTGAGGTGCAGGCGGCGGTGGCGTTGGGGTGGCGGTGGCGTTGGGGTGGCGGTGGCGTGGGCGGCGCGGTGGCGTGGGGGTGGCGGTGGGCGGTGG